ACAACGAGAGCATGTGTATGCTCACACATTAGTCTATGCAACTGAATTTCCCTAATTATACAGGAATTACCCAGTAAATGTGCAACGACTACCTTCATGTGCTGAAAAAATATTCCAAATACATACAGATAATGCAGGACCAAAAATTCAGTGTCAATACTGCATTCTGATTTTTTTTTTTCATTTGAAAATGAGCAACCAGATTTCAAAAACTACTGAAAACACTATTTGTAAGGAAAAAAAAAAGACATACACCATGACCAACTTTATGTTACTAAGGTAATAGCAGGAATTTGGAGATTCAGGCAGAAAGAAGTCGTATGGCACACGCTGCCCATTTTTACTTGGTGCAGAACATCAGGGGCAAGGAGTGAGCAAACACTCTGCAGGAGTGCAGGAAACAAGGAGATATGAGCATACAACGAGAGCATGTGTATGCTCACACTTTAGTCTATGCAACCCAGAGGAGTTGAGTCACTTGCAACTAACCTCCTTTCCCTCCAGCTCTCCATTTACACCTAGAATCACAGTATAGGTGAACTCAAGGAGTCAGCTATTTCTCTCCCAAATTAAGTGGCAGAAGGTATCAAAAAGTCCCTCATACAAATTGACACTGTGAGACTGCTCTACCAAATGTCACACCAATCCACAGGAGCTCAAACATTGTACGTCACCTGTGGAAGCACAGACTACAGGCAACACCATCACAGTCATCAGGATGGAGACATTTTCCCAATGGTAACAACAAAATTAATCAGGCTCCCAAGGTGTGACCTAGCCACAAGAGGAGGTTCTGCTACGTCCAGAGAAAATTGAGACATCCTATGAACCATAAAGGACATTCAGAAGATCTTACCACAGCTAAGAAACATGGACTCCTTCAACTCAAGCAGATAGTTCAGGAAAATTGGAACTCATTAACTGAAAGTTGTAAAAATATCTTTAAACAGACCAGAGTTGTGGTAACAGGCTGACCTTCTTAGTTGATGATCTTAGCTGAGATCAGCTGCCGGATCTTTTATGGATCCATAAACAACATCTGGAAGGCTATTCTCCTACTTCAAAAAAGGAAGAAAGTTTGGGCAGGAAATCTAAAAGGGCTTAGAACTTATCAGAGATCTTGAATTTATATCACATAATTCATGAGTCAAGATCACACTGAAACAAAGCAATAAACATACTTCCTCAGTTCATTAAGGCATTTAACTTCCCAGTCCTTCAGTCTAGAAATCTTAACTTTTGCTAATAGTTTCCACAGAAGATTAGAATATTTAATAACTTTCCTAATGCCAAAAAAACGACTGCATGCGACTATGTGACAATTCCGTCGTACAGAAGGTAAGGGAAGAGCTTGCCTCAGCGGATCTTCGGAGGTCCATCCACCTTGCTAATGAACAGGCCTAACAACAATGCTTGAAACAACATAGGCTAGATTTCTTTCTCAAAAAGTGTATTTTAAATCAAACCATTATTAGTCACAGTGCAAAACTGTCCTGTGGCTCTTGCTGGATGCCAAGTTTGCTTTTGGGCAGCCTAATTTGGAGGGAAATGGCAGCCAACAGATCCCTGTCTTGCACTGTCTCCTAAATCTGTATGAAAACAACCTTCATTGCAAGGCGGACTCCAAATCAGTACTTGGAGAGCTCACTGTGCAAAAAGCCAGCAGCACCGGTAGGTCACAATGCACGCACCACTGCCAGGCTCTAGTCCTGCTTTCCTTTTTTCCTGTTTTTTTTTTCCTCCCCTCCCAATGATAGTTAATTGGTTGAGTATCTTTCCACCTCGCAAGTAGGTATTTTTTCCAGACAAGCTGGTGTCCACCTTGCATGCCTTGGAAGAAACACCTCCAATACAGACACAATCGTAGTGTTGGATTCAGGACCATCATTCGCTATGTCCTATTTCGGAATGCATTAACCACCAAAACACACAAGAAAAATCATGCCAAGATTATAAAACAGAATCTTTCTGCACTTAGTGTGCATCTCTTTTTATAATTACAGTTCTAATATTTGAATGGTTCAATTCATAGTGCTACTCACTTCAAAAGCTTCTCACTTCCTAAAAATCCTACCACAAAGATATCAGTTACTTTCTTGCTTATAAGCTAGAAAACTAACCAGCCTCAAGTCAGTCGTCGTTATAATCCCCTGCTTTAAGAGTAAAACCTGAGTTCTGGACTGGTGTAAGAAAGAAAAACTGAAACTCTACCAACCCAGAAGGAACAGAGAAACAAGATGCTTCCCTACAAGCTGCCTGACAATTTTACTATATATGGCACCAATATAAATGACATTTTATAATTTATGAATTCTTATGCAATTATTCTTTCATGACTTACTCAAAAGTGGCTTTCCCAAAAACGTTACTCAGAGGATCGTTGTTTTTTTTTTTTTTTGCTTGCAATACATTGTGTTCTATTTCAAGCCCAGTTTTCCATCTATGACTGAGCCCTAGCTGAAACAGAATAGAATCCCAGCTTTTATGATAGAAGACTTTTTGATCAATAGAAGTCAGCAGCAAAAGCATTTGCGGTTTTTCTCTGGAAAGCATTTGTGACCACAACTCAAAGGAGGAAGAAAGGGAGGGGGATTAACTCTTCAATGAAGGTCAAAAACATAATTTAAAAGTGAACCAAGTGGAGCAGCTGTTTCTGTCAGCGCAATCAAGATTACCAGCTGGAGAATTTACCAGCAGTATGAAAACAATGCACACCAGATGTCAAATGTTGCAACCGTGAGTAGGAAAACATCTCTGGGCATGGTACTGTCATGCTGGTGCTCATTACCTCACAGATTTCATATTTAGCATTTATTTATTCGTTAAGGAGACACTATCAGGAAGAAACAATAACACTTCCTTAGAAACAGCTTTTGAGCCTTAGCATAGAAACAAGAGCCAGGTGTACCTGTTATAATCATTTAATATTTCACATTCAAATGATTCTCTGTATTTCCATTAAACACAATATAATAGATTTTAAATTAACTAACGAAGACTAGAGCATCTGCAGCTGAGCTTGCTATAGTTTCACTCTGTTCAGCTAAGCTTTTCATTTGAGTCTGGATCCTTTTCTAACAAAATCTAAAATAAAAAAATAAAGAAAAAGTAATAACACACCCTATTCCGCAAATAATGAACTTTGCATATGCCATGAAAAAGTACATTACTAATACCTCCACTAGCACTTCTTTCGACAGCTGCTTTTTATCCTCCTTCTCCTTCTGAAGCATTCTTGTCTTTTTTTCCTATCCATACTCACTCAACAATTCCCTGTACTTGGCCAGCATGTTATTCCGGTTTTGCTGTGTAAAATTATCTGATGTTGATTTCTTTCTTCTGCACATTCTTTCACTTATCTCATACACACCCTCTTTCATATTTGTCTCTTAAATGAAATCCAGGAATAAAAAAAATCCTTCTCTTTTTGTTTTCAGGCCTCTATCCTTCCCACTCATAATGACTGAAACTCTTCTCAGTTGAGACACAAGCAGCTATTTCTGGAGATGGGCAGCAAATCCAGGTTCTCACCATTTTATTTTTCCTTTTGTTGGGCTTTAAAATTCACCCTTCTTTAAATTTTGCCATGAAAATACTCTAAGTCTTTATTACTTTATTATATCTGCCAGCATAAACTTCCTGGCTGTCATCTCCTCCTGTAGCTCATGCAAGGTATTCCCGTAAAACCCTCCTTCACATCATTTTAACCATATCAGTGAACCTTCCTCTTAATCAGTTCTTTTCTATTTTTGGCACATTCTGCATCAAGTTGTGACTCTTCACTCAGTCTCGAATAGCCATGGCTGTATGTTTACAAATGTCTGCAGAAATTATTCTCTGCTTGCATTTTAGCTTCTCCCATAATCTCCCATCCTTCTTGTTCAAATACTTCCCCTGAATGCAACAGTTGCTACATCTCAATACTTGCTTTTTAATTCCCTTTAGTGCTATATTACTGAGAAAAAAGGTGGTTCCTCTCTTCTTTTCTGGTTAATCACTATCATTTGATGTTAAGGATATTTCCAGTTTCCACAGCTCATTTCAAATTCAATATTTCTCTCATTCCCAACAAAATGTTATTCATCATAGACACTGTTCTAGGAACTAGCCCAAAGTTTGTTTTATATTCTCTCTTTTCTTCCTTGCTAATCCAACTTCTCTATCCAAAAGAAGATATCTCCACAGAGAAATACTGCATCATCCTAAATGGCCAATATAACTGAATCAAGCCAGATAAAATCATTTAAATACTCTCAGGGAAGGCAATGGAGATATGTTACTGTGGCACTTTTTCCTGATATACTACATATATTAGTGCAGGCTTATTAACTGCTACAGTTGAAAAAAATGACAAGGCATTAGAAATTCTCTATCAATAGGTACATTTAATGGCTCATGTACTTTTTTCTTTCTCTTAAAAACAGGCATAATAGCATATATATTACACTGTACAAACTTTCCACAGATTCTGTACTATTTCTCCTGTATTACAACCTATTCCAGGCTTACCTTAGCTTTGCCATCCTGTGCGGACATATATCCTACACACATGCTCTCTGTTGTGTGGCTCCACAGAAACTCCACTATAAAGAAAAATGCAACAGGTCACAAATAAACGCATTTGTCTCACATATAAGATGCAGTTTAACAAGACTGGAGTTCTGAGGAACAACTTAGACTTAGCTTAAAATATAGTTAGGGAAATAAAGAAAAAAAAGAAAAAGAAGAAAAAAAAACCCACAAAACAAGATCTTGTAAGACTTGAAAGGAATTTACTCACCAGAATAAATCAATCACCATTTTTTTTCCTGTACTGCAAAAATATTACTTGGAAAGTGAAAATTACTTTAGTGAAATTGAGCCTACAAGACGAGTCGTATATAAACTGCAATTGTAGCTAAAAGGTAAAGCAGACATTTCAAGCAGAGGCCTGTTTCATCCATGATGAAGAAGCATAAGGAAGAAGCAGATGCAATGAGTATCTGCTGGCCTTGAACCCAGAAACAAGCATGCTACAACAGCATAGCCATGGACTGGATACAAGTCTTCTCTAATATTGCAACACTACCTACAGGATAACCAGTCTCAAGCAATTTGTCACATAGCTGAACAAAGCAAAAGGACATTTGTGGAAGAGCTGCAAAAATGGGCTACAGGAAACATGCAGAAGTAGTAAAATCTGTAAAGTAAGACACAAAGCAGGCAGGAAAGAGGCCTGATGAAACCAAAATAACCTTGCAGAATAAGCAGGAGAATTGTTTGATGAATCTGGAAAAAATCTGCACAATAAGCAAGAGATGTCTGGAAAAAAAAAAAAAAAACAAGTTCTGCTCCCCAAAATACAATAAATTATATCAAGAACAGATACAAACTCCCCCTCTCTTTCGGGGAACAGAGGAGGCGCATAGAACATGATTATTGCTAGCTATTAAAAGTAGTACAACAAAAAACTAAATTATATACTTATTGCTGTGAAGACATTTCATCACATTTTAGTTTACATATACATTCCTGCAATAAAGACAGTTAATTATTCTATATACAGCCAGACTCCTTCAGCACTACATAATTTATCTTCAGTCAAAACTACACAAATAATGTACTGCTTAACACATGTAGTAACTCACTATATGCTAGGAAGGCAGGAAATTTCTGTGCTACATAAAAAAAATAGTCTTTAAAAATAGCTATGCTGCAAGAATCTTACTTCCCTGGAAAGAAAACCAAAATCAACAAAAAACAAATAGTTTTTATTTATGAATTTAATCAATGATATTCCACCAGATCAACGTACTCAGGTTCTCTTTGTTGGGTTTGAGGAGAAAATGCTGCACCTTCTTAATAGGAACACATTTCCTTGCCCCCATGTCAAATATTAGATGAATACTAGTTTTTACTCTTATTTCCAAAGATAACATATTGAAAGTTAAGTTGATCATAATTGCTTTCGTTTAATTCAGCTTGTATTTTCATTGTTCATTTCTCTCTAAGGATAGGATTTATGTTGCAGGCTACTCTCCACTACATCAGCAACATCACAATTATTCCACTCCTGAATGCGAAAATTGTAAATCAAACTTGCAGCTTTCTCTGTATCTTTAGCAACCCTGTTCCCGGATTCAGGAGTTGGCATCATTTATTAGATGGTCTCAGCTTTCAAACTGTTGAAAGAAAACACTAAGATGATTGTTGAAGACTCCTACAGGCAGTCACCTTCTTCAAAAATATTCAGTCATTAATAAGCTAAACAGCATGAAATGCTCTCAATCTCACTTGTAACACCTTTTAAATAAAGCTATTGAAGTACTAAAAAAAAAAACCCATAACATACAAAACATTTCATAAATCTTTTCCTCACCAAGCCTTCCAAAATCCCTTCCAAAATCCATCACTATTACTGTAGCACCATCAACAGAAGTGTAAGGATTCTTGTCTCAAAACTCTGGTTCTTTGTAGAAAAATAAATGGAACACTACAAAGATGAAGCATTGCTCTAGTATAAGAATAAAGGCACCTTTGGATAATTTTGAAATGAAAAAAATATCTTTCTTTTCCAGCTTTGGTCAACTAGGTTTGTGGTAGCTATAGAAGGCTGGAAGGGAACTATGGAGCAGCCCCCAGCACATGGCAAGGAATTCATATTCTGTAGTAAGACTTTAATGAAATATGATGTTCAGTTACAAATCAAGGAAGTGTAACATGAAAACTGCTCCTCTGCCACTTTACCATTTCAAGGTAACTATCCTCCTCCTATCCAGGAACGACTAGTACTCGACGGAAGCTCCTGGTAATCTCGTTTTGGAATATGCGTCACTCCCAGCCTTGCATGGCACCTGCTGGTGGAGCACGACATGAAGCACCACAAATACTCAAATGTGGCCCTTTCCAGGCTTGCATAAAGAAGTAATGCGTAGTATATACTAGCCTACATTGTATTTAGGCAGTCTACATTAAAAAAAAAAAAACCCTCCCACTCCACTTCGAGGCAAAGACAATAGTGCAATTCTGCAGTTCGATGTTAAGAATTTTACCTTTCAGAACAATTCATTGTTCATGTTTGTGACAGAAAATAAAACAATAAGAAGAATTTAATAAATAATAGTAAAAGTAGCTTCATTAAACTAATTAAAAATGTTCAAAAGTTAGGTAAAAAGTGATCCGGTAATTTTTAAGCGCACTTATCTGCATAATTATTTTAATCCAACTGATCTGATATGCTTTCAAAAATGTAGAATACTGCATAATGCAGATAACAGTATTAATGCTGGCCCAAATGCCCAGTGCTAATAGAATTGCTTGGAATGTTAACCGAAAATAAAACAAACTTTTCTTTATAACTTAGGATAAGATGCATTTTTTCTGTTACTGTTTAATCGAAAGCATCAATTTACATAAAAAATATTTTCTCACAAGTCTTTCTCCTTTAATGAGTAAAATAGCAAAAAAAATTTACTAATACTACAGGATTTACATATGTAGTTCTCTCTTCATGAAGAGGTAAAAATATTTTCCAAGTTAATGACAAATTTTCCAAATTTTAAGAATTTTAAATTTCTCAAGTGAGCAGAATACCAATACTAAGAAGGTATAATGAGACATTAAAGCAAATCACCACACTATTAACATATTTCCTACTACAAAATAATACACAGAAACAAATGCTTGACAGATAGATTTCTTTCAGATTAAATTTTTGCTATATATATGTGGACTATATTTAACAGCTGATTATTGTAATACATATTAATACATATTACATTATAGTAACTATATAGTTACTATACTATATTACGATATGCACTAGTAACTTTTCAATATTTTATATATTTTATATGTCAATTCTAGTCTTTATATCATAAAATTGAAGATTCGTAGTAACATGTAATAATAGTGTTCATCTTCCACAAATTTACTGCAGTAGTTTCTTTGAAAATTATCCTATCAAACTTTCAATAGGTACCTTAAAAAGGAACAAGAAGTTACCTGACTTATCTGAAAGTTTGGTGCTCTTAGAAACAATTGTTATATTCCTGAATTTTTTGCCCTTCAGCACTCACAAATATTTTAGTACCTTTGAGTGTGGTGTTAGGACTTTTTATATTTCACTTTACTGTTCTTCAAAAGATGCTCTCAAGACAGAGAGAGGATATAGCCTAACAGACATGAACACTTGGGGAGAATAAAGCTCAGTCAACAAATAAAGCTGAATTTAAAATTTTAAACCAAGGAATATGATGGAAGAAATAAAGATGCCTTTGATCACAACAACGCTACCAAAAAAGAGGGCAAAAGAGGGGTGCTCTCTCAGCACAAAGAAGCAGCAATGGCATTTTTCTTTTTAAACGTTAAGAGATAGAGGAAATGGGCATCTGTTCTCCTTTAACCATAGCAGAGTGTTCTCTTCAACTGTGTTGGGCCCACACATTAAAAGAATTTTAATAATAAGAAGTATTTTCCTTCAGACAGTACAGTCACAGCATAGCTACTAAGTCCACTGCTTGTCACAGGTGGGAGGTATTAGTAAATCACTATGTGCAGAACACTAACTTTGTTCCATGCTATATCAAACCATTACGGAAGAGTCAATCAAAAGCATAAAGCCCCCATAAACTTGGATTGTTAGGTACAGAAACATTAAATTTAACAACTCTATTGAGCAAAACTATGGGCTAGGGCAAATCACATAGCCAGGAAGAAATTAGAATCAAGTTGACAAACACAAGATAGTGCATGAGATTTAAAGATGATGCAATCCAGCAAGGTGTAATATGGAATCAAAATCATAAGATAATATGAATTAATGAATTAAAAAAAGATAAAGCATCTTTCTAAATAAGAGCTCAAATTCCAAAGCAATTCTACAATTCCAGGTGACATTCTACACTCTACCTTAAACACAGTTAAATTAGGTGATTGAATTTGCCATTTTGTATCTGAAAAAGATATGTAACCTACTACACTTTAAACTAAAAGTTTCTATGTCAAATCCATAATGTTGTTGGCAGCTATACGCGAGGCACTAGATGAAATAATAACAGAACTGAGGTTTATACAAAAGAACATTTCTTACTGGCAGCCTATAGAATCATATACATAATTCACAGTTCATATGGCCCAATAAATCAGCAGACAGCACTGGCCAGACATGTGTGCCCACACTGAAGGAGCCCCAAAGGAAAGGACATGACACAAGCGGAATGACAAAATAATTCACCCGGTGAATAACGTCCCAGCCCTCCTTCCCTGCCTTCCAAGAGGGGGGCTGTATTTCTCCCCACTCCGCTAGCACCCAACAGAGCTCAGCTTCCTTGTGTTTGCCTGCTAAGGAAAAACCACGTGCCAGCTCACGAGAAGACGTCTGCTCTGCTGTAGATCACTGGGGCTCATGATTACCTATTTTTCCTAGGATACGGACCATGCTGAAGGGCTGTAAATCTCACACCCTTTTAAACCAGTTAGCTATGGAGTCAAAAACCAGTTTCTTGGTGGTGGCCTTAATACAATGAAGAACTCTTGTTGTGCACATGTATAAATAAAAATTGTAGTTCATCTGCACAGGTTTTCCTGGGCATAACAGAAAAAAAATTCTAACCACAAAACAACTTCCCTTCCAAATTTCAAGTCTATCCCCAAAATATTTACATTTTGTACCTTAAAAACAAGGAACAAAAGACTTTAGATAGCATTTCTGACACATAAGACACTGAAAAGAAGAAAACATTCATACACATTTTGCTTAGCCTAAAACACAATTTTCTGTATGAAGAACAAACCCACCCCACTCTCCCCCACAAAACAACCATTATTTCTACTTCAAGTTTTTGGAAAGATTCCTCACATCCCTCAAAAATCACACTGCTGTTCAGAATTAGCCACGTAGAAGGAATGGACTTTATATAGTTTTAAGAAACAGGGCAAATACTACTATTTCACTTTTTTAAAGTCTTACCAGTTCGAACCTTTTAAATGTCTTTTTATTCCCTGTGTGGTTTTTAAACAATGATAAACACATACGTATCTTATTTTTTTCTTTCATTTTCTGCTTTGAGCTAGCATTTAGGTTAAAATGAAAGCACATAAAAAATTCTTACCTAGTAAAGTTGGCTTTTCCTGCGAGGAGTCAGCCTCTGCTGCACATCTGCAAGACCGAAGAACTATCACACCTCCAAGTACACCATCTTCATTGGCTAGAAAAGGCGAACCTGGGTAAAATTATTGGGGAGAGTTATTGGAAAAAAGAATAGTTTGGAGGACATTCTTTCTCTTTTTTGACTTTCTTATTCCTTCCCTCTTGTCACTAAGAGTTGAAATCACTGCCAGTGCTTTTAAAAATGTCAACATTGCTCCCTATTGTTCCTAATTTTCTGAAAAGATTTTGTAGTTCATGAAAAATTAGACTTTCATTGTATGATTGGCAAAGACAACACTGAAAATTGCCAAGACTGCTTTAAAATCTAAGCCTGAATATTAATTATTTTATTCAAAATAGAAAGGAAAACACCTTTTTCTGTAAAAGCAGAAAAAAATATTTACACATAACAAGTGACATAGCCAGCTTTGCTCATTACTTTATGCTTCTCTTCAAGGCTTTTCTAGAGAAATAATGCTGAACTCTGAATTAGAAATTTGGGAACCACATGACCACAGATCTTCTGCGCTTCCATTGTTCATTTCTGTGAACAGCAGATATCTGACCATCTCAAACCTGAAAGGCAGAATTCAGTCTGGCTTTTAGCATGACTCATAAATTCTCAGCATGTTAATATCAAATCAAATATCGCTCACACAATAGGAAATGGCAAACTCCAGTCAGCTGGAGCCATCTGCACCCTGATTTGAGACTGCCCTGGGAGACCTAGTGACCCTCACCAGGCCACACGTTGCTGAAGCCCCCATTTCCAGACAGGCACTAGATAAACTGCGTCGACATCCTTCTTCGGGCAAACCCGTCTAATGTAGATTAGAATTTTGCTTTAGATTTTGCTTTAGCACAGACAGTTCAAGTGAAAATAAAGCACCTCCTTCATGCACTATTCACAGCAGCCTGTGACATTTAATTAAAATATTTGGAAATTAAATTTGTGGGTGCATAACCATTTGCTATTGGATCAAGAGGTATATAACTATAAAAAGGGAACTGTCAAGTTAAAAAGAACAAGTGCCTCTTAATATTTAGCTTCTTCTGTACTTCTTCTGTATGGTCACATATGAAAAAAATTAAGCAAATTTGGGTCACTTTATAGTTTGCTCATTTTTCCCAATGAGCACTTTGTATAGGGAATGAACAAACTGCTATGACTGTCTTCCTTAGTGTTTTATGAATATTAAAAGAAAAGCCAAAACATATCCTACTGCTTAGAAGTAAGCTTTCTATTGTTAATTCAAGACATATGATATAAAAAGTCTTGTATCAGAAGCTGGAACAGTTTCAAAGTTAGCTGAATCAAAACTAAGCATTCTTTCTCTGATTTGTAATTTGAAATGAGATTCCTATAGTTTAAAATATAAAAATAATAATATGATTTAAATATGACTTAAAATATCTCAATCCACAAAATCAAGTCTGTTCTTGCACTCGAGTCCAAATAGACCCTATGTGCACATTTGTAACAAAATATCACTTAAAACTGAATACACAATTGCAACAAGCATTTCATATATTTCAATTGTTTTATTTTTAATAAATTAACACACTAAACTAGACACTGTGAAAGACATTTCTAGCCACAGGAAGTTTAAGGAATATCTGCAGCCCAGTCTCCCAAGAAGATTCCTTTGATCAGCCCACATCTATTCCTGTGATGCAAATTACTCCTTCAATACAAATTGTTGCAACTAGCAATAGTACTAATTCCATGTCCTTCTGCAAGAAAAACTGCAGGTATTTCCATGTTCTCTCTGAAGGTCAGAGCAGTCACATTCAGAAGTGAAGCAGGGTGACCATTACAATAGAAGGCCATATTGCAAGAAGACAACAAATGTAGCAAGCTTAACCAATGAGATTATTTCTCTTGACCTAACACATAGATATCATCATTTAAGTGCTATTTGCTTTGCCAAAGAACTCTTACTAGGTGCTGATCATACCAGGAAACTGAATTGCACAGATTATCCAGGCAGCATATCATGCAGTGAAAAACCATTGTAGATTGACCCAAAAAATGCTTTCATTTTTTTCTAAGCAGTATTTCTCCCTCTTTTTCTAGGGTTTATCAATGATAATGTTATTGTTCTGCCAAAAATATGAATAATCACATTACTTAGAATGGCTAGAAACATTCTAATTCCAAGAACACAATAATCCGTAGCCTTCTATTAGGTTGGCATTCCCCGATACTACTCTGACATGATAAATATGGCCATATGGTTTTCCTGGCCAGTTTGTGTCCTAAAACATTATTTATCTATTTTTTTTTCAGGTTTAAAAGAGTAAAAGCAAACAAACAACAGCAACAAAAAAACCCATTCATTCTTTTCAGTCAATTTCAAATTGAGAAAAATAATCACTCAGATTATGTTCTTTATGAGCCTTTTAAAGAAAAAAATAAATAAATAATTTCAAAATTGAGCTTCAAGCACAAATGAAAAACCTCAACCTTACAATTTCATCCCAAGAGTTGTACTACCTAAACATGCAAGACTAAAACCACGAAAACCCAATTTCTGCACACTTTTATAGCATTTTGTACTTTCAGCATACTCTCAGTCATATTGCCCCAAATATATACACACCTAAGATGGAACCAAGTTAATTTTGTAATGACTGCATTTTGTTGCAGCTTCACTACCAGTTTGCAGGGTCCAAAAGCTTTGAACTCTGTGCTGAACACTCAGAGGGCCCTTCCAGGCAGCCTTGTAAGGATCACACATTAACTAGTGCTGGGAAGATACAAAAATAAGTAACATGGCTAGAATAGCTGGTAGTGGGAAATGAACGTCTAAACAATGGCAGTAAAAAACAGTTGCTTACAACAGTAATACTGAAGCTGTAGCAATAAATTCAGAGAGACTGTTTCTCTCCTTTTAAAAATCATCCTTTACAACAAATTAAATACAGGCTAGGTGGCATGTTCCTTAAAACAAGAAAAGGTTTTTTATTCACCCGATTAAAGTAAGTTAAAAAAGAGTGATTCGATTTTAAAAAAATGTTTTTTAAAGCAAGGATTTTTTTTGACTATGCCAGCTTATTACAATTATGCCTAGGAATGTATTTTAGCACAGAATATAGTAAACAAATAGTTCTGCGTTAAGCAAAATACTAGACATCTCATCAGTACGCATATTATTAAACCTGTCACAACAAAGGCACAAAAAAGACTTTGCTTCATTTCTAAACTAAATCCATGCAACAAACAATCCAATTTGAGTATTCTCAAAACCTTATGAATTCAAAGGTTAGGAACAAATTTCATTAAATTCGTTCCACAAATCCTTTTGCCAAAGCACTGAGAAGAAGAAAGAGCAGTACAGACGTCTATACAAAACTAATAGTGTAAGTATTGGCATTTTTTCAAATAAATTATATTTAATTAGTATTCAAACAGAAAGTGAAAGGTATACCTGAAATTTTGCTACACTATTAAAGTCATAACGGTTTCTTCTGGTTGAAAATGTATTTTTACTGCAACAAAATACGTTTGCCAAACAAATCTTTGAGCTAACAGCTTACTAATGACAAAAAAGGGCTTTTAATAATATCTGTTTAAGTCTCAGGAAATTCATTTTTCCTCCCTATTTACATCATATGGAAGAATTTGGCATGAAAAAAGGCAAACCTGAAGAACTAGGACATTAGCACTGAGTGTGGGTCCACATCAGGGAGAAAAAAAAGAAAAAAGAGCAAAACACCAAAGCTTTCTGTTTCCTCCCTAGTAACAAAGATCATGTTTTACAAAACAAAATTTGTTTTACAAACATATTTCCCTGTTACCGTTATCTGACATGTGGAAAGTATTAGCAAGTTTTTATTTACGTACTTTGTACCTTATTAATCTATACTAACGGTCTCTTGAAAATAAGCAAACAGATCCTCATGGTAACGCCACGCTCACGGATCCGGTTGAATTCTGCGAGCGCCGCCGTAACTGAGCCCCACGAGTGGGTCTGAGCCGCAGAGCGGGGACAGAGCTCCCAGATTTCATACCCATTAAGGCAAATACTCGCCTCACCGTTCAGCCTGGTTCTGGGGGAATTACAGCTACGAGCAAAGGACAATTTCTGCTCTCCGTCTCTTCCAAGTTGAAGTGCTCCCATGATGGAGACTGCTGCCTCTGAAGCGCGGCAGCGGCGCAAATTCCTCGTTTCTGATTCATTTGTAGCTACCGAGAGATGCAGCCTCGCGCAGACTTGATACAAAACCATGGAAGAAGTGTGGTATTTACCCACCACCAGCTAAAGGACTAACCAGCTGTTCATCAGATGTCTCACACTCACACGCTTCCACAGCCGAGAAACCATTGCCGGCCTCACCGTTCATGTTCACTGTCAAAGCCCTTGACCAAAAAAAATTTGATCTAAGCATTTATGCGCAGCAGCGTAAGCAACTCACTGCAACTAAAGAGTATTAAATCCTTTAGTGCGGTATAATGGATGAAATTGAGATCTTTTCTCCATAATCTGCAGTGCACTTAAGCTGCTGGACTCTGTTGGCTTTTGCATGTGTTTGAAGTGAAGCTGTTTGCTACTCCCTGCTTCTGTTATGAACCAGGCCAAACTTCAAGCTAACATTTTAAATAAACATTAGAGGAATATACAAACAGTAAATTAAGTCTGCTTTTAATTCCATATAATGTTGTTTGTTAAATGTTTAAGCACTAGTATCTGAAACCAGAGATCTAATCAGGTTCTTCATTTCAGAGTTTTAGGTCGTTTTAGGCCAATTTTCCCCAAATTGCATGATTTCTTGAAAATTAAGATCCTTCATGTGCCCAAAATCATACTTAAGGGACAGAGGAACAAGCTTCCAGTGATTTCTTTCTACGTTGATCTCCTAGGGAAATTAAATTCCTGCAGCTGCACTGTCTGTCCACTAGACAGCCTCCTCACTCCAAATAACATTTTTAATCTATTTAGTTCAAAAATAACTAGTCTCTTGCATATTCGGTGAGGATTAGTAACTGAGTAGAGAAGAAAAATCCTTATTTTCACCCCCAGTGGAGGAAGGCAGGTAGCTTCCCAACTGTTACGTGTAGTATCAGAAGCAGACAGAGATTAAATCAGCATTTACAATGCATGTGCAGTAAGGCAGAAGCAGTATTGCATCTCCGTTGTACCACAGCACTTGTCCAGTATGACACGACACGCTGGAGAAAGCCTGAGGCTTCTCAAGACATCTGGCATGCAAGACATGGCCTGTTTCTGTACCTTTTTGGAACTACTCTCTTAGCTATTGCAGCATCTCTCAAAAAAGACAACAACATCCTAACTACAAAAGGAGTTCTCAATATCTTCCTTCATGGACAGATTACTCATTGCTCTTTGTTCCACATTCTGGAAAGAATCTATTTTCACAAACTTACGATCCTGACTTTAGCTTAATCTCACTTGTAAATTTAGTTTATTTTTTTTTACTGATTTCCCTGAAACTAATACAAAATTGTTTTCTAGTTAAGAAATTTTCAAGTGAGAAAAAGCAACAGCACACCTTTTTAGTATGTGAAGTAAAAAATAAAAAAAGAACAGAGATTCAAGTGAGAAAAAGCAACAGCACACCTTGTTAGTATGTGAAGTAAAATTTACATAAAAAAAGAACAGAGATCTAAAAACATTTTTCCTCTAACGGACAGAATATCAGATTCTCTCTGTGCAATTCCTTATTTTTAATACACGAAATTTTAAACTACAATTCATTAGACGGCCAGTGCTCACAGCCGAAGCTTCCCGCCAGTGAGATGACGCAAAC